TATATATATATATATATATATATATATATATATATATATATATATTTATTTATTTATTTATTTTTAATTGAGTTTTTACAGAGAGGAAGAGAGAGGGACAGAAAGCCAGAAACATCGATGAGAGAGAAATATTGATTAGCTGCCTCCTGCACACCCCCCCCTACTGGGGATGTGCCCGCAACCAAAGTATATGCCCCTGACTGGAATCAAGCCTGGGACCCTTCAGTCCGCAGGCCAATGCTCTATCCACTGAACCAAACTGGTTTCAGCTGGTAAATATTTTTTGAAAATAAAAACTGAAAATCCAAAATATTCACTTTTTCTTTTTTATTTAATACCTAATTAGAAAAAGCCTAGATTTAAAATTTGGAATTAAATTTTGAAAAAAATACTGCAAAAATATTTTAAATAGAATTTTAGTTCTTTACCATTCTTTATTTTTTTATTTTTTTATTATTAAAATAACAAAGGCTGCTTCCTTTATTATTATTTTTTTAATTTATTTTTTAATGTATTTTATTGATTTTTCACAGAGAGGAAGGGAGAGGGATAGAGAGCTAGAAACATCTATGAGAAAGAAACATTGACCAGCCGCCTCCTGCACATCCCCCACCAGGGATGTGCCTGCAACCAATGTACATGTCGTTGACCAGAATTGAACCTGAGACCCTTCAGTCCACAGACCGACGCTCTATCCACTGAGCCAAACCGGCCTTGGCTTTACCATTCTTTTAAAGGTTACATAACACATTAGAGCAAACGTTTTTCTCAATAGTCACAAAACCAAATTGAAAACAACTTTTTGATTAAAGACAACTAATAACTGAGGCAGAGAGTAAGAATCTAGGAAAATTCCTAGATAAATGAAATCAGGAAATGGAGATAAAATAATAAAATAGGGCCAAACAATCATCTAGCTAAACACAAAACCTCACCTTCCTTAGCAAAAAAAAACCAAAACAACCACTTGAGAGCAAATAGTTTATACCTCTCCTCCTTAAGTATGGAATAAATAGCTAAATTGCCCTAGTCAAGGAGATAGATAACAGAGACCCAATTAATGTCATTTGTGCCAGCAAAACCCAAGGACAGATGAGGTCAAGGGAACAAATAACAATACCCCCCCCCACACACACACATAAAACAATTAGAGCCAGACATACCCTAGATGGCAAAGCAGTAAAGCTGACCAAAGAATAATCCCAAACTCCCCAGTACACTCATTTTGGTGCATCAGCCTATTAAAGAGCTCACCTGGAAAGCTGATGAATATTCGGCTGAAACTCTTCCCAGTGACCTTCCCGAAGATCCTTTCACCTTCCACACCCTCCCCACCACCTGCTGCCCTGCATAAGAGAGATAAAAACCCTCTGGGCAAAGATGCCAGTGCCAGATCTCGCTCTGGAGCATGCCCATGCCTTTCTTCCCTCTCAGGCATGCATCTTTTCTCTCCTAAATTCTAAGGGTCCCCATAAGACTTCCAACCAGGGGAACAACGGGCGGCAGCAGCTTGTCCTGGACTAATCCCCTGAGCCTGTCTGCTGGTCCCTTTTCTCTAACTTTTCAATGAGCTGACAACAACTCAGTGTGGGGCCCACTCCTTCTTCATAACATTTCTAGAGAGCCAAAGTAGAGCACTGCCTAGGCTCTCTCCTGTTGCTTCTTCTATCCTAAGCCTTTCAGTCAGTTCAAAGCAGCCCTGCCTTGGCTCATACATCTGTCACTGCGACTCTTACTTCTCAGTGAGTCCATGCAGCCCAGTGTGGCCCACTTCTTTCCTTTAGTGCTCCTTGACAGATCCTCCCTTCCCCAACCAGTGGGTGGAGTATGATGTAACCTGCACCTGTGGCCTGGACATTCCTGAGCATCTAACCAGGCACCTTATATGACTACATATTGAACCACCAGTCAGCACTTGCCAAATACCCTAAGCTAGGGGTGTCGAACTCAATCAGAGAAGGGGCCAAAATCTAAAATCCAGCCTAAATTGCGGGCCGAATGGTTTACTGAACAGTCATAAACTGACAATGTTAACCAGAAATGTGAATTTAAAATGAGTGGAACAATCTTTTCCTTAACAGTGCTGTTAACCAACTCACATGCTATCAAGGATTTGGCCCGCGGGCCTTGTGTTTGACACATGTGCCCTAAGCCCTTGATTTCTAAGTACCTAAGTGCCTAATCATGTGCCTTATATGAAACCACCAATCAGCATGTGCCGAGTACCCTAAGCCTCATTTCTTCCCATTTCTCCCCTCAAAAGGCGTGTTCCCCTCTGCATGTTTTGCTGCTCTCCCTTTGTGAGACAGCCCAGCGGGGGTCCTTCTCCTCTAATGAAGCCCGTAGTCCTGCTTTTTGGCCCTCTGTCTGATCTTTCATTTGGTATCCAAGTCTGGGAGGGGGGCATGGGAGCGTGGACGATCGTTGAACCTGGCCCCGAGCTTCTGACTCCTGCTCTGGCTCTGCTCGGTGGCATGGTTCTGAGCTGACTGGCCGGCTCTGAACCCTGCCGTACCAGGACACGTGGGGATCTCATCGCTTTCTCACTGGTAGGCTTCAGGGACTTCCCCCCCCCCCGCCCCCCCCTCCCCAATCCCATCATTCCCTTGACGTGGAAGGGCCTCAGAGTTTTCCCGTTTTCTCGGCTAAGTGTTCTACCTTCTATGAAAGCCCAGGTACCTGGCCAGGAAACTGCTCTACCCCGTGGGAAAGATCTTGGGGTGACGGGCTTGGAACCTTCTCTTGTCTCTCTCTCTCTACAGGCTGGCTGAGGGAAAAGGAGGATGCTCCTTCTTTTCTCCCCAACTTCCCAGTGGCCCTTCCCTCCAGTCCAAAGGGGGACCTCTCAGTCCAAATCCTCTCTACACACCCTTAGGATGTCTCTTCGCCAATCTCTCGACCCTTGGTCTTTCTGGCTACATTAAACCAAAGACGCTCGACCTGGCCACCACACAAACTCAACAACGTCTCTCTGTGGTCTGAAAACGGCACTTTTGATTCCAATATCCTTCAAGACCTAGATAATTTTTGCTACTGGACAGGAAGGCCTCAGAGATCCCCCTGATCAGGCTCCCCCTGCCACACTCTCGCCCTCGCTTTACTCCTCACGTTCCACCCATCAGACCCTCCTCTCGAAGTCCTCTTTGCCCTCTCAAATCTGTCCTCAGCCCCTTTATCTGTCTTCTGACTGCTCTTTCGACCCAGCGGATGATTCCCCTCCACGTGTCTCACTCCCGCTGCCCCCTTACAACCCTGCTGCAGAATCCGCACCCCACACTCTACCTCTGAGAATTCTAACCGCCCACCTTCCCCTGTGCTCTCCGCCTAATCTCTGCCACTGGGGCCACCAGCATCCGAATTCACAGGTAGCTGGCCATTCCCTTCTCACTTTCTGATCTTCCTGAGAGCCCAAATCCCGAGAACGTGAGCTCCAAAACAGCCTTTCCCATCTAACACTCATTCTGAGGCCACCCAAAGACTGCCTTCCACAACAGCTTCTTCTATTTCCACATCCATTCTACCCCTGAGGGAGGCAGCAGGAACTGAGGGCATAGCCTGAGTCCACATCCCATTCTCTATGTCCAGCCTCACAGACTGAGAGGCATCTCAGGATTCTTTTTCCACTGACCTGACCACCTTTACTCCCTGACATATGCCGTAAATGTAAAAAAAACAAAAAAACAAAAACAAAAAAACAAAAAAACAGATACAGGTCCACAAACCCCTCAAAAATACCCCGTTAACCTGACCTTTAAGATCTTTAATAATAGTGACAAGAAGACCCAAATCCAAAATCAAAGGCGAGATCAGGCCAAGGCTGAGGCCCAGTAGGAGGCCTTGCAGCTCCTAGCCACCGCTTTCAGACCCAAAGGAAGTGCCAGTCCTCCCGCGGGTAAGTCAGGGGCTAAGCCCATGCTTCAAATGCAGCCAGGAAGGACACTGAGCCGAGTCCTGCTCAAACCCGAGACCCCCGCCTGGGCCCTGCCCAAGATGCGGAAGGAAAACCACTGGAAATCAGACTGAAGTCTGGCTCCTCGGGGTCTCACCTCAGCCAGTCCAGTACAGCAGCCCTTTGCATTCTGTCTGGAGCTCCCAGACCTGCTAGGACTGGCCACCGAAGAAGCTGCCCAGGCCTGTCAGGGTCCCAGACTTACATCACCAGGACAGAGCCTCGGGTAATGACTGTGGTGGCAGGTTAGCCAATCTCCTTTTTAATTGACACTGGGGCCACTTATTCTGCCCTCTCTGAATTCGCTGGGACCCTTGTCCACTCCTCAGTCTCTATTACGGGGGTTGACAGATTAGTCTCACAGTCATCAGTCACCTCACGTCTACACTGCATCTTACTATAAATTCCCCCATTCACTCTTTTCTCATTCTACCTCAGTGCCAGCCAGGACTACCGTGCATCCCCTCATAAAACCCAGTTGTTCCAAACCACAGTCACCTACTTCAGTTTCACTGTCTTGACCCACAAGGCCAAGCCATTCCTGAGACTGTAAAAACCTAATTTTCTTATCTCATCTATGATCATTATCTCTAGGAAAAAATGCCACGTTTTAGAATTCAAGCAGCTAGAACCTTTTTAAAGTGGGGGCCAGATCCCGGTCCCTCAGAGAGCTGGAGGGCCGGACTATATGAACTACTAATTCCTACTGTAACACCTCAGCTGCGCTCACTGCCCAAAAAACCTGGCGGGCCAGATCAGACTCCTCTGCGGGCCGCATGTGGCCCGCGGGCCGTAGTTTGAAGACGCCTGAGCTAGAGGCCTGGAAACATGCTTCAGGGCCTACTCCCTCCTCCCTCTGCCTTTTCTCCAGCCCCATCTTCAACTGCTTCTTTCCTTCCCTTTTTCTTTCCCCTTGGATAACAGCCCTTTCTACAATAATATCCATTCCCACTTTCACTGCAACACAATCTTTTTTTTTTTTTAAATATTATTTTATTGATTTTGTACAGAGAGGAAGGGAGAGAGATAGAGAGTTAGAAACATCGATGAGAGAGAGTCATCGATCAGTTGCCTCTTGCACACCCCCTACTGGGGATATGCCCGCAACCAAGGTACATGCCCTTGACCAGAATCGAACCCGGGTCCCTTCAGTCCCCAAGCCGATGCTCTATCCATTGAGCTAAACCGGTCCCAGCTGCAACACAATCTTAATCACTCATCTGTCACCCCTTATTGGTAGCACCATGGTGACTACCCTCTCAGCTTGGAGTGCGGAACTAGGAAAAGGAATCTCATACCCTTCAGTCCACCTCTTCTCCTTACACCTATCAGCTTGTCTCTATGATCAGGGATTTTTCTTCCTCTGTGGGAAAAACACATACATCTGTCTCTCCATCAGCTGGACAGGAACCTGTACTCTCATCTATCTCTCACCCAATGTAGATGTAGCCTTTACCTGTCCTCATCACCCATCATATCTGACACAAAAGAGGGGTCCAGATCATCCCTCTCCTCCTAACGCTCGGCATCACAGCAGGGGTTGGAACTGCCATAGGGAGCTTAACCACTGCTCTATCATACTTTGAAACCCTGTCTCAGGACCTACAAGAAACATGTGGATGCCCAGCAAGGGGCAAAAGAACCTTACCCCCAGGGTAACTTATTATCCCCTTTCATATTACTAGTGAGGCAACTGAGACCACTATTCTTTCCCCCCCTAAAAATAACACCTAGGTTCCAGTTGTATTTCAACTCCAGGCCCAGAAAAGCAACAAAACCAGTTAAGTGACACTGTGGAGCCTCAGGACAAGTTTTACCTCCCGTGACTCAACTGGATCGCTCTCAAGACTTTACCAACCAGTCTCTTGGGGAATTATGCTGCTGCACCCCTCGTCCAGCACGGAAAACACTACCTGTTTTCACTCACTTACCCCATGGCTCCTCCCACTATTAGGCCCACTGGTATTTATTCGTTCAGTTTTGCTCTTTGGCCCCTTTCTCATACTCTGTTTCACTAGTTTCTTGCAGAACAGAATGCAGGTGTTCGCCAACCAGAAGGTGGGAGAGATCTATCTGGCCTTGAATTCAGAACCTAGCACCAGAATCCTTGAGACCCCGGGAAGATACCCCTGGTGACGTCCCCTCTCAGCAGGAAGTAGCTTTGGAAGACGGATCTTCACACCCTGACCTTGCCTGGACTCTCAATTTTTAAAAAATATTACGAAAAGCCTGGAATGATAGATCCTCCTTCCCCCCAACTGATGGATGGAGTATGATGTAACCTGCACCTGTGGCCTGGACATTCCTGAGCATCTAACCAGGCACCTTATATGGATTATACATTGAATCACCAGTCAGCACCTGCCAAATACCCTAAGCCCTTGATTCCTAAGTACCTAAGTGCCTAATCATGTGCCTTATATAAAACCACCAATCAGTGCATGCCAAGTACCCTAAGCCCCATCCCTTCCCATTTCTCCCCTCAAAAGGCGTGTTTCTGTACGTGTTGCTACTCTCCCCTTGCGAGACAGCCCAGGAAGGGTCCTTCTCCTCTCATAAAGCCTGTAGTCCTGGTTTTCGGCCCTCTGTCCCATCTTTCATTCCTAGAGAGCCAAAACAGAACGCTACCTAGGCTCTCTCCTGTTGCTTCTCTGTCCTAAGCCCTTCCCTTGTTTCGCTGTCCCAGCTTTAGTAAATGTACTTTAAAATCACCTGGACTCATATTGTGAAGCCTTTCGTGCACGAAGTAAAACCCCCACACACTACTGGGCAGCCTGTGGCAGACCTGCTCTGGGTCTGGTCCCTGTCCTGTTGCATTCTCTGGTGACCCAGATGGGACCTGGAGTTTTATTCTCTTTACTCTCTCTCCAATTCACCTTTCCTGTCACTTCTGGTCATTGGTGTGGTGGAAAATTGCATGTCAACTGCAAAATAAGTATTTCATGAAAATGTGCCTCATCAACCCTTAGATAGAAGGTAAGCCTGTCCCCTGGATACAGAGTAACCTACCCACTTGACGGTCTTCCGGTGACACCTGGGTGATGGGGTCCAGTGAATCAGGACCTGGTGATCCCTGCCCTTTTCTCGCCCCTCATTTTGCAAGTATGGAGCCGAGTCCCCTATCTGAGCAGATTAAATCCATCCTCAGGGCATCTACTTCCAAGATCTTTGGTAAGGCCACCCTCAGAACACAGGGTAAACATGTCCATAGAACATGTATCTATTAGGGACCTGACTTCCTTTACCTGGTTCACAATATATTAATCAGGCTCCCAAAAATGCTATTATTGTGCTTCATATTTCCTGGTCCTCTATCTGGAGCATTTATTACACTGATTTTGACAACTTCATTCTTTTCATGGTACATCTTACCGTCTGTCATTGGTTTATTTTTCTCCCATATAAACAACTCTTTGGGACATTACATATGCAATTCCTTGAACTGGGGGTGACACTATATTTGCTTCCACAGTTCATTCGTGACTTTTAAAGCTTTGAGAGTCTCAACAGATTTTCCTGTTGGGTAATTAGGAGTGTAAACAAGGGTAAAATAATTAAAAGGGGGGAGGGGGGGCAGCCACTTTAAAAAAATAACAGCTGAAGTCACCAAAGCTTAATATCTCCCCTCACTCTTCTCCAGACTCTTTAAAAGTTGTCAAGGACAAATAAAAATCTTGTCTTCTCCACAATTATTAGTAACTAGTGGCCCGGTACACAGATTCATGCACATTGAAAAGAAATTAATTAAAATAAGTATTTTAATATCGTTATTCTCCCTTTATCTATAATAGAAGTGTCAACCAAATTCACAATCAACAATGACAGATGGAAGCACACGTGTGTGATTGGCACCAGTGAGAGCTTTATGTGTATGGTATAGGGGGCGGCTATGGGGTCAAGCCTCAGACTGACCGGTGGCAGAGCCACATACAAGTCCCAGCCTGGAGGGCAGAGCCCTCCTAGCACAACTGAGCTTGACCTTATAGTCCTCCCTTGTTCCTAGGAAGCTAATGGGCTGTGGGAGGTGCAGCAAGTGCTGCCAAAACAAGGCTTGAGTAATGAAATAGATTTGAAACTCACAAGAACATTCTAAATGTCTTAACCACTCCCCTTGTTTTGCTTGTGTGAACTGACTATAAAATAAAGCTTCGGTTTACAGGCTGTGTCACTGTTTCCTCATCCTTCACCACCTGTCCTCAGGATCACCCCTGGCTGTGCTGGATGCAGTTCAGTGTGACACATGCGTGAGTCAACTTAGCCTTTTATATATATAGAATAAAGTTACTTAATTAGACCTGCTTTCTGATTTGGCTAATTTTTTTCCAGCCCAGGGAAGCACCCCAACTTCTCTTTCAGGTAATTGTCAGCAACACGGCAATAAATATCAACATGAAGCACATTATTATTGTAGATCACACCGGGAGAACAAAGGGTAAATATTTAACTGCAGCAGTATATATTCTGCTCAGTGAGAAAACCTTAAGTCATTTTCAAGATCCACCATTTATTACTTCTTTACAGTTGGGCCAAGTTTCTAAACTTTAGATCTCCATTTTTCAGCTAAAGAAAAGAAAATAGGATGCCACTGAGTCTCCTATCTACCTACTCCAGGACTTCTGTGAGGATCAAATGAATGAGGCATGGGAAAAAACACTTCACAGACATTTGGTTAAAGTATAAAATGTTTGCACCTGGTATAAAGCAAGTTGTGTTCCTGGGCTAAAGAAATTGCAAGAAGGTTAGGGAGAGGAAGCCAGGTGTTGCTACACGATGTCATTAGCTGGGCCCACGAAGACCATTCTGGGCCAGGCTGGTCTGTAGGCCACATTTTGCGCCATGGAGTTTTGGTAGCATTGGCTGCAATTTGATGAGCTGTGGCTCCAGGATGGTGGTGGGGCCTGTGTCCCACTTGGAGGAAGCTGAGTGTTGCTCTGTCGGTGCCAGGTCTTTGGTGCCATTTCTTTGTAAATGGCCAGTGCACATCACTGCAGCTCCTGCATTGAGTGTCTGCCCCCTGGTGGTCAGTGCACATCATAGCAACTGTTTGGATGGTTGGAGGGACACTTCATCCCCTGGATTTGGAAGCCTCATAATCAGTCATAAACTGTATTGACCAGGTAAAAAAGAGACAAAATGGGCTGTGCCAACAGCATTCCCCAAGATTACTCACTAGGATGGCTCCTTAACAATTGATCCAACTTTACAGGCAATGATCAAAAGAAAAAAGAACATCCTTTTCTTTTGTAATGTCCCCAGACCTCGATACAATCTCAGGAACGGGGAAGTCTGACCTGTAAATGACACTGAATTATGACACTATTCTCCAATTAGATTTGTTTTTGCAAAAATGAAGACAAATGGAGTGAAAAACCTTATATTCAGGTATTTATGGCCCTTTACAAGGATAGGGATTTAAGGAAGTCTTCTAGGATATTCCTTAATTGTCACAATGTCTGATGAATTAATGGACACCTTCCTCACAGCCCCTGCAAGAAGCTGGCTTCTGTCTCTAATAGATAAGACAGAATCCATCCAGAGGGTGGAACAGCCTGCTCCCTAGCTCACTTCACAGCTGTCTCTCAGAGTCCAGCTGCTCCATATAACCCCTCCTCCACTACAGAACTGCTAGCGCTCACCCTAATTTGTAGCCCTGTCACTACCAGGAAGGGACCTCAAAATCATCCAAACCGTAGCATGTTGTCTCTGGGGGGAGTATCTAACAGGAAGCCTGTAAAGAAATTATTTGCATACAAGTTTCCTTTTCTATTTCTGATCTGTCCCGTTGCAAAAAACAAAACAAAAGAAACACACACACACACACACACACACACACACAAAACAAAAAAACAAAAAACTTGATTGGTTTACCAAAGATCCTAGCAAATTCACACAGGGGTTTAATCACACTGCTTTACTGAAACAGGTAGAATAAAATGTTCCCCAAAACTGCACCATCGAGTCAAGCCCTACCAGAACAAATTGCTCTATCCAGTTAAACCCCACCAGAATATGGCAGTTATCAACAGAATAATTCTAAAACAATGGTCTAAGAAGTA